TAATCCACTAAATCAGGAAGAAAAATGTGTGTTTCAACTGAAGGTTAGAAACTATAGGAAAATATTATAAATAATATAACAATCTTACTCTTGCTATCCATACTCATGTTCATTTTAGGCTAAAGCTTTCTCTACTATGTTTATATCATCACCAAACAAAGATGACAGGTTTCCTCCCCTGTAACACAGAAATTACATAATGCCACAAGACTTTCTGTTTCTAATTGTGGAGAACATCAACACCAAGTAAGATCAGCCAAATCTGCTTCTTTACCAGTCCAGCCTGAAATGTACTTTCACTAAATGCACTGAAAGGTAAAGTTATTAAGGGATTGAAGAACCAAGCTGAAMAGCTCTAGCCATTATTGTTTAATTAAAAATATGTTCTTTGCTTTTCTCTGTTTTTTTAAAAAACAAAAGAGAATACTCCCTCTTTAATACTACCTCCCCTGCACCTTAATAGTTAAAAAAATTAGTATAACATTTCCACTGAGCTTAAAATCTAAGACAATTTTTTGAGACGACCAAAATTAGGAGTTCAAACTGAAAGAATATGTTAAAATGAAGACAAATAATGCCAAATAAAATTCCCAATATTAAAATTCTTCAGAGAGAGACATCATAGAGTCATGCTGCATCTCTCCAGAGAGTGTCAGTACAGAGGACTGTATAGGAATAGACTTGATCTTTGTGTGAAAATTGAGTTAGCTCCTTATTTAATTACCCCATTCAGCTCTCATGTATCCAAAAATTTCTTTGAAAATGTAAACATAATTGAAACATAATAATTTTTAATGTCAGGCTTTCTAAGGAACCTTAACTAGCTTCTAAAATACMAACAGTATACAACATTTCTTCCCACTAAAAATTTCTTTTTAAAATTTACAAAAATAAGTACAGACAGATAAAATTATCTTCTGGAAGGCAGACATGACATACATAACTCTATTAACTGATGCATCAAACTACAAGTTTTAAATAATCCTACCATAGCCTGTTTTGATAAAGAAACCGTGTTATATACAGTTCATCTCCTTAAAAATGTACTTAGGAGTCCACTTTTTCTTCCCTCCATCTAAATAAAAAGACACTTTGGGGTGAAAATCCCTTCCACAGGAGAACCTGTGACAAAGTTGCTCAAGTTCTTACCTCTAGGAATCCTATATAAGCAGAACGTTGATCAGTCTTAAAAGAAAACGTCCAAGGTCTCCCAAAAGTTCATTCCCTCTTCAAAGATGATAATTTGAAACTAAGCTAAAAACATACTATTTAACTATTTCAGTAAATTTTCCATGTATTTTTTTGAAGACCCATGCTTCCTTGCAACTGGCAACATGAAAATTTAAGAGCTTTGAAATCAAAGTTCAATTTTTCCATAGCAGCTGCATTGCTCTTTTTACAGACATTATTTTAATTTTGTAACAGTTAGAGAAATGAAGTGTTCCGGATTCTTGTCATGTCAAACACAGGGAATAACTGCCAGAATTTTGAAGTTATAAGTATGACAATTCAAGACACAGTCCAGTCGACCTGACCCAGCAGCATCCTAAACRGGACAGAGCTAAACCTGCCTTATCTCACAATTACTTTATATSATAATTATAAAACAAATTCTGGCATGACTGTCAAAATTAAGGTGTGTGAACTGCTTGCTTCAAAGTGATAATAATGGAGGGATCATACAGGACTCTGCAGCACTCATCTCTGACWTTGCAGACTATTTATCTCTCTACATCAGGCCCTGTTTGCCCCTTAGCAGAGAAATATTCAGGCTATGCCATCCATGAAAAAGAAAATGGAATGATATACATACATTCAGAGTATGCTACTTTATTCTCAAGAAAATGGGAATATGCATGGGGCTACTGATAAACTTGGTAAAATAAATGTATCAGGAGCTAAATAGTGAAACAACCTGCACTGCTGAATTGATGATTAAGAACAAGAAACAATTCTATTGCTGAAAAATGAGTGTTCTACCACATTCCTCACTTCTTCCTTACCTAGCACCCCTTAACCAACTGATAGAGTGAACAAACACCCTCAACCAAAATTATATTTTTTCAAATTGCTTTCCACTATTTTACCAAAATGACACAATGTTGGGAGGAGTAGCCGATACTCCAGAGGGCTGTGCCACCCTTCAGAGGGACCTTGAAGGTCCTTCAGAGAAGCGTCTGAAGTTCACAAAAATGTGCATCAGTTTTAGCAAGGATGGAATTTCTGCCCCAAACCAGAGATTAACTCCAGAACAAAGCAACAGCCCCAAATTTTAACCTTAAATTATAACTTACAAATGGAATACACTCTCTGCTAAAATAAGAAGAGATGGCTATATTTCAGTCTCCAAAAATGCAGCTGCATTCTGTATTCTAAAACCCTGAAGTTTTTACTAGACACAAAGATTTTTCCATAAAGTTCTCCCAATACTTAACCAATTTTGAGACTGTTAAAGASAGTTGTTTGTACTGTAAAGAGAGTACCTATAGTACTGCTACGCTAAGTTTTAAAAGATGTAACAACTTCCACAGAACTTTCTATCATAGCCCTTTGTAAAATGACACCTCCCAGCACAGTACAGATAGCAAYGACACACTGCATGCCAGAAGTATTTCCAGACAGACTTTTTTCCCTAACTGCAATAAAGAAACAAAGTTTGTCAAAGAGACTACTGCCCTCTCATTTGGCATACTGAAAACTATTAGCTCACTAGGTCACAGATGGATGGTTTCATGATCTCACCTAAAACTCAATTTCATGTTATCATTGTGCCTCCGTCTGTGYAGAGAAAGCAAGAATCAATCTTTATGTTTGTTCACCTTTGATATGCAAACACAATATATTTATGTAATTGTAAAATCTACTTTTAAATAAAGGAGAAGTGTAAAAATGAGCTTGTTTGTGTTCAAGTGTAATTGAGAGACCCTTTTCCCTATTTTAGGACCTTTAGGAGAGCATGGATTTCAAGACATCATGTCAAGTACCRTTATCTCACTGTTTCTTCATGATGAAGTCTGCACTTTCTGGTATGTTAGTGCACTGACATTAGTATCAGAGACGTTTTTTTGCTTCTGATGCTGTTGCACATAATATTTATTATAATTTGTTAGACCAATTCAAGATTCTGTTCTTAATGCAAAAATATATATATGCTTTTTGTTTTCAGTCCCTTAGAAATTCCTGCTGCATTCTGAAGTAAATGTGAAACATCCAACAGATTAGCTAACAGCTTGAAAGACTGCATATGGTGATGGCAACGCTTTATAAAAACCAGTAAYTGGTTTTTAATTTGGAGATTTTTCACTACCTAGTTTATTTCCTGTCTCCTACAAAAGGAAATCAACAAAAGACCTAAACTACCTCTGTATTCAATTTTTATGGATAGAAACAATCTAGAAAGACAATCTGTTATATCATGAGCAAAAGCATAATAAGTATACTCTTTTTTGTATTCATAATAAAAAATCTTACTGTATCATAAATCTGAGCTTAAAAGTTAAGCATAATGAATACAACTAATGTGGGAATCACTATCTTAAAACTTACACTGTTGCTGAAACAAATCTCTCTTTATAAAGACAAAAGACATACGAACAAACCAAACTAACTTGATTCCTCTTTTCAAAGGCATTCCTCAATATTATAGCACCCTTTATGCATACCTTACATAAAAAAACAGAACAAGGGCAAGAATGGCATTTTCTAGAATCAGGGAAACAAAATGGCATGTACATYTATCATAGGAAAGTTTAACAATAATTAAACCATAGGCAATATTTAAATAAGAAAAGTTCAAGAAATATGTTTTGAAACAAATGCTTAAAAATCCGGACTTAGTAACTATAGCACTCCTATTGAAAATCAAGATAATTCCAACAACTCTTCAGTTTGCCAAATATCTAAAATGATGGATAGTATGAAGTAGGAAACAGCTACAGAAAGGGGAAAGGAATATAAGGGCTCCTTATCAAGAGACAGGGCAGTGCTCATTGTTATTCAAGCACATTAGCTGCCGTATCCTGTTTCCATTGACTGCAGGGAAGGCTTCAGCATTGACTTCAAACAGGTGCAAGTCCCATGAGACTTAAGGGGAATAAAACGTACAGTCAGGGTATGAAAGCAACAGTGTATGAAGTGTGGTGAGACAGGATATGTAACTCCAATGTGGTACACAAGAATCTGACAAAGCTATTTAAATGCAGTGCCAAGTAAGGATGCAACTGAAAAAAACAGACATTTCTAAACAGAAATTTGGCAAGTCTTCATTCAATGYTACAAAAAAAGTGCAGGAAAAATGTTACAGAAGTGAGAGTGCTAAATTATAGTGGGGGGAGAGAACAAGGGAGACCCAGAGACAGCAATAAGCATCATCCTGTTCTGAAGCAATACAATAACACTTGTTCAGGACACAGCTGCTGGAAWGTTTTGGTAGATACTACAGACTAGTCTGCTCCAAGAATTGCTGGGACTTAGATCCAAATATATTACCCACTTCTAGTTATTCTTTTCTGCATTATGATGAGCATTTGAAATGTTTTGGGGATTWTTTCTTTAACTTACATAATCTTCAAAGAGAAGTCTTAGGCTATATTCTTATATCAGTTGAGTTGTGCATGATGGTCTCAATTAATTCCATAAAGAAAGTAGCTGAGATGTCATTTTATTAATTAGAAGCTGGTCAAAAATAGAGCACTTATCACAAAGGAAACCATCAGCTTCAAAATTTCTTTCCAGATGGACAAGAGAGCTATCCAACACAGCAACTATCTATCTAAAATAAGGATGGTAAACATCAGTCCCCATATTACACTCACATGGATACGTATTATAGCAGGATGACCAAACCTCAACATTTAATTCTGCAACCAGTTTTTGACATTAAAATGAAGAGTGAAAGTAACAATTTTGAAGAGAATCAGGCAAGACTATAAACAACTCTTAGGGTTAAGGATGAGATTAAGCAACTTACTAAGTGTTACATTGAAAGGCGAATCACCTACCTGGGCAAGCATGGGAAAACCGAGGTTTCTGCATCCATTACAAGGTGTCAGTGCCTCCCATAAACCTGAAGGTCCACAAGCATTTTCACCTGTGTCATCATCTTCTTCCTCCCTTGGTGATAAACGCATTGAAGGAGGCCTCTGTGCATAAAGAAACAATACTTTCAAATTAAATACAGTGATATATTGTAAAGAAACTTTTTAATTAATGAACTTAAGAGTGTCCCATTCATAAATTCCAAAAGATAAACTGCTGTTTTAATACACAGTACCTACTCAACTGTTAAACTGCTGTATGAAAATAATACTTTCTAAGGAAGGTGCATATTGAGCTATCTGCATTTATACTTTAAAAATGAATGAGCATAATAATGCACACTGAAAATATTTTTCGTCTTTATTATCAAGACAATGGCAATTTCTACTTCAGTTACTTCCTAATTTTCTGTAATATCATTAAATTTAGGATATTCCACAAAGAATAAATATTAACATTTGCCTAGATGAGTCCAAGGTTTTTGCAGGAAAAAATACTAAATCAATGAAAATATGAGGTTTCAATTTTTGCATTATATTTAYCAATAATTAATGCATTAGCTTATTTTGTAGGCAAAAGATGTATTTCAAAATGACCTGTATTATTTTGCCTCATAGTCTGGAAGGGATGAAAAGTATCAGGAATAGTTATTCACTTACGAGCACTGTGACTTACATATTGATCTGAGTGATAACGGAAAAATGCTCATTTTTGATTAAACCAGTATCCTAATTTTCTATGACAGACAGAAATAGGAAGAGTGGTCAGTTCCCATACATTTATGCTATTTTGCCACACAGTCCATCCCAACTGAATTCCAGTGGCAACTTTTATTAATTTCAGCAGAAGAAGGAGGAAAGGTAACCCAGTAATGAATGATTTTTTTAATTTCTTGTAAAAAAAAAAAGTATTTCAAGTAAAAAAGAATAATTTTTAAATCTTAATTCTTTGCCCATATTTAAACTGGAATACAGAATAGCTSTTCTAGCCTGCTTCACATTTGCTTAAGCAGCCTACCTGACACTCAGATACTAAATGCTATCTTATGAATGCTTCTTTCAGAAGTGGCTGGATTTTTGCTTGATCAGAATAACCCTGTTTGAGACAGTGGCTGACCACAACTCCTAATCTGGTGGTAACATTAACTCTAAAGCACTGCTATGAGGTTCATGTAAAAATCATTTWAAAAACCCCAACACTTAACTGCAGRTTATTTTAGCCAACAGAATGAAGAAACGCATGGAGTCTACTGCAAGGAAAGGAATAGAGAAGTGAAAGAAAAGTAGTGGGGAAAAGAAGTAGAGAACAGCAGCAGTTCTAAAAATGAACACAAGCTGATGGAAACTGTAAGAGAAGCAAAGGCACTGCACAGACAGGCACTAACTCAAATCATGTTATATGGGAGGAACATTTAACTTGACTCTCATGATAACTTTGTAACATAATTCTGGTTGGTGTTCTATTAATTTAAGCAGGGAAAATATTTCTAAATTCTAKCTCAACTCCTGAATCGAAGGTGAGAAACACAATCTATCCCACTCCATTAGTCTGATTCCCCCTCAATCCCTTGCTGCAGACTTCATGAATCTAGCCTTATCTTCTAAAGTTAGGATTTATTTACTTTTTATTTTAAAAGTCAATTTCTAAAATATTCCTAGCATGGTATTTCATTAGGTTATTTTGACACTCTAGTAGTACCACAGAATGTGTTGCCATAACAACCAATATTCTCACAGTGATCATTAAAGGGATTGGGTTAATTCTGCAGAGTGTAGGTCGTGAAGGACTATTATTGCCAGGTATTTGCATAGACAAAGGGAGCAAACTACAGGTCTTTCACCTCTATTTATGACGCCATCTTCCATGGTGCCTGCCCTACACTTGTATTTTAAATCTCAGAATTGCTGTACCAGAGGATAAAGCGCTTCTTGCCCCCTGGAGACAAAAGCAAAGAACTGCAGCAGTGCTCAGCACAGGGAAGCAGATAACAYACATTGTCTGTGACCTTACAAGCCAAAGGAAGCGAATGAAGACAAAAAAGTCATATAAAAATGTCAGTGCACCTTGTAAAGGTAAAAAACACACATATAAGTGAGCAATTTTCAACACAAGTGAAGGGAGATGAAATACAATAGAGTCAACTGACGGGGGATCTTATGAGTATTTAGTCATTACAGGAACAGAGGGAAATAAACCTCCATGCCAAACAATTATTGAATGACAAAAACAAAACACACAGGCAGAATGAAAGCTGTATACTTCTATTAGATGTATTTTATATAAATAGCCTAAGACACAGTGTGAATCACAGGAATTTAATGTCAATATGAATGAGAGGAAGTGGGAAGTACAGTCAGATCTCCTGATAATTCAAAAATGATCAGTCAATGCCAGAGTTCATCAGATATGCTATTGGAATAAACTGACTGGTACTCTCATGCAACTAGACAGCGCAGGTATGAACATGATACAGACTCATTCACAGACACTGCAGATCCGGGTTAGCTCTTGTAATATTTGCCCAGATTTCTGCTACCAATAAAGTGCTAAAAAGAAACTGTTAGGAATAATCTATGTGGAGGGGGTTTCCTTTCTCACCTTCCTTCATCCCTGCTGACAGAAGCTCTGTTCTTCCCATACAATGGGGACAAAGACATATGTGGGAATTACTGCAGGGCAAGAGAGATGCATTTGCAAAGAGGAGGGAAGGAGTTAATAGCTGCAAAAAAGAAAAGGGAGACACAAGTGCCCCAAATTCAATAGACTGGGTTTGCATACCCTGGGGAGAGTGATATGTCTGGAGGAGGCAAATGAGATACAGAAAGATCTACAATCAATTCRCAGACTACAGACTGCCACACAAACCCATAAGACTGCAAACCCAGACCACACAGTTTCCTGTTACTCTCTGACGCCTTCATTCCTTTTCCAGAACTCCCTATTTTTTCTGTTCCGTTGTGTAACTTAATTTTGCCTCCTTAGAGATCCTTTGAACATGAAAATCTAATTCTGTGTGTGCTACTGGGAAGCCCTGAAATAGYCCTGTAGGGAGAGTTTTAGTAAAACCAAAGTTATTTATGCCCACTTCTCAGAAAATAAATAAATGTATAGAGCAGAAGATATTTCTGCCAGCTAAAGAAAAACAGGCACAATTGAGAACCTCTTATTTATGCCTATTTTGAGTTTTAAAAACCCCAATAAATATAGTTTAAAAATGCCATCTAAATCATAGTTACTCAATTAATTTAATGAGACATTATGAAATAGCAAAGTCAATATAAACTGCAATACTAAGCTTCAGTAAGTCCACTTCTGCCTAGGTCAGAGGAGACACAAGTATAAGCAACATATATCCTCACACAAAACAGAAAGAAAACCTTACATGATATTAGATATCATATGCAAAAGGAAAATTTGGTAGAGAAACTGCAAGATATTAATAGAGAATAAAAAGGTTTACTAAAAGTTCTGTTTTTTACTGGAACTGAATTTAAGTATTAGACATTGCTTGTAGTAGTAAGAGGCTAACAAAGTAATCTCTCTGTGTGAAAAAAAAAAAAGAAAGAAAGAAAGAACAATAACAATACAACAGTGAAAGAGTAGTAAGATCTAGGGTAAGGACATTGGACCACTACAACTAGTGGCACATTTTCTTCAGACTCTACTGGGCCTATCATATCACCTCTCATTTTCATACTTAATGAGCATTTAAATAATGTCTTTGAAAATTTAGTATGGAAGCATTTCTCTTCATGTCTCCATCTATATAAAAAGCAAAACTTGCCCACTAAGATACTTTAGATTAAAGGATACTTTATAAAGAGGCTATTTATTCTCTAAAACATGTATGTACACATCACAACAACTTGGAATCTCTACCCCAATCTAAGAGAGCCGGCCAATATTTATTAATAGAGAGAATGATGAATACAGASAGAAAATGCAGAGAAAGTCTGTTCCACTCTTAGAAGTCAATGAAGAGACAGCAGCTTTAATCTTAACTATCACTTTCAGTTACTAAGTTCACAACTCAGCAACTGTATACCATATATAAAGCATATGTAAGTATTTTTATGTATAAGGCCTTCCTTTTAACAGATGGCAACTATTTTCTAACATATAATTTTATTACCTAGTCAAGTTTTCTCTAGGAATACAGTAAATTATACAAGGCTTTCCTTTCAATCCCTCTTTTTCTCAACTTTTAGTGAAGACTGGTCTGCTTTTTGCCTTGACATTTGTAAGCAGCCACTGCTAGGAAAAAATATGTCACAATTCCCTTGTTTCAGAATGCATAGGAGACTTTCCTGTACTAGTCCAGTGAAACCTAAAACCAAACATCAACATCTTCTTGTATCTGTTTTTTTCATGATTATTCTCTGTTTGCAGAACTATTTCACATACCCTTTAAAACAACATCTGCTAGAGGAAGAAGACCATCAGCAAAAAGATACAAAATAATAGGACATTTACCATTTTTATTGCATCATAGCTATGGAGACACAAACATTAACTTATCATTTATCTTTGTAAGAAAACAAGATTTTTAAATGGAGTAGCAAAGATGAAATCCAGAAGGCAATCTCCTTCTGCTTATAGAGGTAGAAAGTAACCAGACATTTGAAAAGCCAAATGCTGCCACTCAGTTTGCAACAATCAGGTCAACAGGAAGTTTCTTCTGTAGAAATAATTTGTCAGATCTCTGTGTGTTTTCTGTCTTTCTAACACAGACATACCTATAACTCTCCTTGGCCCAAAAGACATGTACCTGTGTTGTGAAATAAAAGTAAAAAAACTACAGTTTTGTTATTCAGTATTCTGACATTATGCTAAAAACTAACAGAGCAGGAAACTGCTCCTGGATATCTCCTATAAATTAGGATAAGCAGGTTGATCTTTGTCGTGRCTGTCCCCAGCAGCTGCGGCAGTAAAGCCAGGGACAGCAGAGCTGGGACAATGTTCTATGCTCTCAGTGCTCCCCCTGCTGCTGCCCAGGCTGCTCCCAGGAGAAAATGCCTGAGGTATGCAGAAGACAAAGAAAAAAATAGTATCTGGGCATGAAATAAAACACTAAAAAAAAAAAAAAACTTTTCCACAGAAGGAT